GTGGGATATGTTAGGTTATTTTTGGGGTCTTGTAACACTCAAAAAATTTTCTCATGGTTTCTTTGCTTCAACTTATGAAAGTTTTCATAGGGACATTCTACTTTTGGGAGTGTTGCATATGATAGATTCGGAACAGACCCATAGTTGGCCCTCTGGCAGGAGTTTCCAGAAGCAGTTAAACTCACAGGAGATTGCCCATCTTTCTCCATCAGAGCAGTCAGTGGCCTCAAATTGTGTGCTTTCGGGATTGCAGTACAGCTTCTTGCCACTAGGCTACAAGAGCTCCCAGCTACTTTTGGGTAACAGGGGAAATTCTATTCATTTCCTGGGTGTCTGTTGTGCAAACCTGCAGCCAGTGGCTCGGGTACATGTAAGCCTGCCTCAACCAAACCAAGCCTACCACCTTGCAGTCATTCAGCTCATAGTAATCAGAGGTTAGAAATGCCCCACAACGAGTCCAAAGCTGTACATTTTTATGGAAGCAGAGCACAACACCTTTCTCTCAGGAAGGGACCTTTTGGGTCTCAATCATGCTCTTTTAGTTAGCGGCTGAGTGCTTTAACCACTGTGCTATCCGAGCTGGCCCTTCTGCTCAAGACGGGACACAGTCTGTGGTACAATTCCTGCCCTGCTTCACCTCATCCTTATGGTTCATTCATCCCCTGATTGGACTTCTCTCCCCTCTCCTGAGAGCTGCCCCCCATAAATCCTGTCCACACAAAGTCCTAGCTCAGCTTCTGCTTTGAAGAAATCTGACTTAACCCCGGGCCCTGGGGTTTCTTCTGAGGTTTCTGAGAAACTGGAAGTAGCGGCCTTCGTCCTTAATCTTTACTGAGGTTTCAGGGTTTCCCATATCGGCATGCAAGACAATTATTGAATAAAAAGGACCCCAGAGATAGAGTTTTAATTTTGTTTCAAACTATCTACTTAATTTTTGCATTTTTCAAATATCATTGCATTTTTTTTTTTCATGTGTATGTATGTTTTCTACATGAGGCTGAAAATTCCCAAGGCAGAAATCATGTTTTCCATGCCAGGAATCAGCAGAGTTCCCACTACGGTACACTCGGTGAATGGACAATTAATGGGTAATTTAGACAGATTTGTTTAATACAGATATTAGCAGATTCTCTAATAAAATCAAGTTTTGGGGTTAAGATTATGATATCATGCCTTCTGACCTAAGACTTGCTTATTTTCTCTCTTTCTTTTCCTGAGTTCCCAGGAAAACTTTCAATAGTTTTGTTCCTGAATAAAACCAGTAGACATAAATTGTCTTTCTTCTGCAATTCACATGTTGCTTTATGATCATCGTTCTATTTAAAAGTCCTCTTGGAGGGTCAGCTATGGGTTGGTTCCGACTATGATATACAACAAACAGAAAGATAATGTATAGACAGATAAAGAATACAGGTTTAAAGGTCGCACTTGAGAGTTTGTTTTCTACCTCACTGGATGAGATAGATTTTCCAGCACAACCACTACATGGTTCTCTAAGTTGCAAGATTGTAATAGCCCTACCATTGGCTAGGGCTCCAGATAAAAATACACCCAGTTAAGCTTGCAGTATGTATATACATCCCATGCAATATCGAGGATAGCGTTTGTGGCATACTTACATTAAATGTGACTTGTTTATTTTAAATTAAAACTTAACTGGCTATCTTTCGTTGTTGTTAAAGAAGGTTTGTTTTAAAAATAATCTTATAATATGTTTTTCCCAATAAAAAAAAAGAAAAAAAGTTCATAAATACTGTAAATTAAAATATATTTCCCCCCCAAAAAAATCTTGTATTCATGAAATGGAATATTCTATAGACTTAAAAGACCAGATATTTAATAATGTGGGAAAGGTTTGTGGCTGCTGCTGCTGTTGCTAGGTGCTATTGGGTTGATTATGATTCATAGTGACGATATGGGCACTGGAAAGCTGTAGGGCAAATTAGTTCCTGTGACAACTCCTCACCTCTGCTTTTATAGCTCAGAGGCAGTCAATCACAGCTCTACTCTGTCCCCCAGAGTCTCTGTGTAAGTTACAATTGAGTCTATGGCAGTGGGTTTAGTGAGTCCCTCAAGGCGCTCTAGTAATATCACAGCTACACATTTGCCATTAACTGAAAAGTCAACATTCAAACCTTCAGGAAGACCTGGTGACCTGTTGGCAGCTTCGGACACTCTATGGGGCAGTTCTGTTCTGTTCTACGTGATTGCTGTGAGTCTGGTTCATGTAGAGAAGAAGAGGTTTATGACAGAGATGAGATCCTGGGTGAGTTCAAGCAGGATTTCTCCCTGATGCGGCTAATTCAGGATGTTCCATGACTGCTGGGAAGTAGAACCTCGACTCACAGAAAAGAGGTAGGAGGCTGTTCTGGAATTGAAAATTATCTTTGAACCGACCAGCTACTCTGCAGGAAAAGGACGGGCAATCTCCTCTCCTGTGATTTACAGCTGCTGAAAACCCATAGGAATGTCGGCTATGGGCTGGCTTTGACTCCAGAGCAAATGCCAATGACAACAACAACTCAGTGAGGAGCTCTGGTGGTGTAGCCCTAAGCTACGCCCATAATAAATGAAGGGGCATGGCTGTGTTTCAATAAAACTCTTGAGGGCTTAACTTGTCAATTAAATCTTTACGTAAGCAGATTCTCACAAATATTGTAGAATGCAGTAAAAAAAAAGTATTTTATTTTTATCCACACAACTTCTTTAAAAATCTTACAATTTTATATAATTATTTTGCTAATGGTGAGATGAAACTGGTACTCCATATATCATGAAAATGAGTTGGGCAATATTTTCTAAAAAACTATTTGGCAAGTTATTTCAAGTGTCATGAGCTTTTGGGCAAAGTAAGAAGAATCTTTAAACATCTAAAGTATGTACCAAATAACCATTATAGTGAAAATAGAAGCAACTTAAATGACAATAACTAGGGAAAGAGATAAACAGGTGAAGAAGACGTACTCAGTATCTGTCTTTGCCCAGTGACCTGCCGCAGTCGGTCGCACTGCCAATAGGGAAAGGTTTGAAAGAAACCTCTATGGCTCAACATTGTGGGAGAAAGTCATCAAGGGAAATATTAAGTATGGTTCTTACAGAGGAAAAAATACAAATAGCAACATAAGAAGATGTTAGTTGCCCCACAGGAGAAAGATGGGCAATCTCCTATAGTGCAATTTGCTGCATTCATTGGGGGGACAGTTATGAGTTGATTCCAACTCAACTATAAACAACAAACAACAACAACGTATAACTGTATGAACACTGCAACAACAATAATATAAAATTAGGGGAGCTCTGGTGGCCTAGTGGCAAGAAGCTGCACTGCAATCCCAGAGGAACACGGTTCGAATCCACCAGACGCTCTGCCGGAGAAGGAGGCGCAATATCCTCCTGTACCAGTCAGATCTGATTTGACGGTACACGTACACAAAATTAAAAAAAAAAAAAATATAAAATTATAGTGTGCATAAAATGTAAATTGACAAAATGATAACAATTTAAGTGGTAAGATTTCTTTTCCAAACTATCTGGAATGCCAGAACAGTGCCAGGGCTCAGCACCGGAACTTGTTTGAATGCCTAGTCCCTCTCTGCCTAGCTCTCTAGACAATAATTTCTGCCACTGGAAAAATGGGGATACAGCATTATGATGTGCTTCATGTCGTAGGCATTATGTACTTTCCTTCTAGTGTTTTCAACAGCCTCCTAGGCATGTGAAACTTGGATACTGAATAAGGAAGACCAAAGAATAATTAACCGATGCTTTGAATTGTGATGTTGGCGAAGAGTATTGAATGTTTCATGTACTGTCAAAAAGAATCAACAAATCTGTCGTGGAGGAAGCATGAAGAGGATGCTCCTTAGAGAGAAAAGGAGTCAGCTTTTGTCTCCTGTGCTTGGGGCCTGTTGCCAGGAGGCACTGGTCCTTGTAAAAAGACACTGTGCTTCCAAAGTGGAAGGTCATTCAGAGAGAGGAAGATCCTCAATAGGGTGGGTTGGCCCAGTGGAAGCAACAATGAGCTTGAGCAGCTCAGTGACGAGGAAGGTGGCACAAGACGGGGCAAGTTATCCTGTCTGCTGTCCAGAGGGCTGCTATGAGTCATAAAGGACTCTCTGGCACCTAGCACCACCACCACCACGGTCCTCACAGAAATGTTGTGAATATGAAATGAAATGAAATAATATGCAAAATGCTCCAAGCATTGTTGGCACAGTGTTTTATAAGATTTGCAATTGTTATGAGGTAACTGCTAGAGCTAGATAAACAAAGGAAAGAATGGTTGCTAATGAGTCTACTCTGCCTCATAGTGACCAGTAAGACAGAACAGGATTGTTGCATAGGGGATTCAAGATTATGAAGTCTTCACAGAAGCAGACGGCCTCATCCTTTTCCTGAGAAGTGCTTGGTGGGTTTGAACTGCTGGTCTTTCAGTCAGCAGCCACGTGCTCAATTGCAGCCCCACAAAAGCTCCTTGTTGTAACTAAGATTCCGTGGGGCAATCTCCTCCTGTGTGAGTCACTGCTTCTAAAAACACTGGTGGATCAGCTATGGGTTGGTTCTGACTCGACAGGAAACTACAACACTAAGATTAAAGCCAAATCTACAGCAAACTTCAGTCCCCCAAGGCGGTAAATATTTACCTCAGGAGTCAGCCCATCTTTCTCCACAGAACAGTTGGCGGATTCAAACCAACTGATACAGCAGCTGCAGCGATGGGCTTGAGCGTGTCAGAGCTTGTGAGGATGTCACCAGATAGGACAGTGTTCATATGGTTGCTGTGAGTCATACTCAACTCAATGGCACCTAACAACAACAACAACCTTTGCAGGAATAGTCAAACAAATTAGAGAATTCTTTTTGTTGCAATGAGATGGTAGCAGATTTTAAAATAATTAACCATGTATATTGGTATTTTTCCAAAGACCTTTCTCCAGCAAGAATCACAGTGGAGTTTGGTGTGAGGGAAAAAATTCATCATAAAGTTTTTGGATACTCACAGAGTCAACCAGGATGTGTGAGTGAGCGTGGGACTCTCCTTCCATGGGCTGAGAAAAATAGACATCTATGGAATACTGTATACCCGGTTCTAAACAGATGGGTGTGGGCAGCAGCATGATTCTGTATAAAGATAAATAAATCCAGAATTTATTGGCAGAAGCACAGTTATATAACCTAAATGACCATATATTTCTTGCTTTCCTTCCTGTGCTAGAATGGACTGTAGAATGAGCCTTGGCCAGGATAGGTAAGACCAGACAGGTGGGCTGATTGGACAATTACTCCCACAAATTCTCCATGGTTCTTCCAAATATTCTGTCAAGGAATGACACCCTAGAAACTATTGATCATGGGTTGCCATGACAATTCTGAGGAAAGGATGGGTTAGGTGTACGTCTTTCTGTTTACCATACTAACATCACAACATCACAAGGTCTCTCTTCTTTTGCAACAAGCTCTGATTAGACAATATTAGTGCCATCAAACCCAATAGCTTTTACCTCATAGACTCTTAGCTACTTGAGAGAACTCAAGCTAAGCATTTTGCACTTATTCTTGTAGCATGGCATCTTCTTACATCTCAGGGCCATTTGAGGATCCAAAAAGAACTTTTCAGATTTAGAGTCAGATAGCTAGGTTGGAATCCTGATAGTGTTTCACACTAGTAAGAGACTTGGGCAAGTCCTTTAAGTACTCTCAATTTTCCTCTCATCAGGTGAAGATCATATATACCTTATGAAATTAAAAAATGTAAAAATAACCTCCTGGATACCATACCAATGTGATATTAAATGTGACCATAGCATACAGTAAGCACTCAATAAATGTTATAGTTCTCTTCAATATCCCCATTTCCCCACTTAGTTTCAGGTTACAAATCTTCATATTCAGGTATAATTCTAAGAATATGTCAATGTTTGAGGAACAATCCCAGGCATACCTGGCAGCTGCTGGTAGAGCAAAAGACCGGGGCTTTGGCTGTGGGGTCTTGTGGGTGCAGTGCGTCCTTCCTCCAGGGGGGTTAACCACGATCCTGACAGTCCAGTCAGCTCTGGACTAGACAGACATCAAATCAAAGCACGTCACTTTCAACAAAGGCATGTGAGGACATAGGGCTGGAATTTCATACACAGTGATCAGGACAAGGAACTAAATTCCCAATTGAATTTACAGAGCAGAATTTAGGGGTGGAAGGAAGTCTCAGAGGGTCTCTCTTGAGGTTGAGTCTCTCATATTTACACTTTGATCCAAGCAGAAAGAATATTGTTCCTGGCTCCGCTATAACATGTGGGCTTGGAAAAACCCTGACAACTTAGAAGAAGTCTAATTTTTAACTCATTTTCCGAAGAGTCAGCTAATATGTTATTTATCTGGAGACAGAACAAAGACTAATTTGGCTTCTCTATTTCTCTTAGATATATTCTGGAAGCCTTACAATTTAGAAGAGCTATCAGATAAGTGTTCTCTCTACCAACAAAGAAAAACAAAATACCAAACTTGCTGCCTCAGAATCTATTCCTACACATCATAATCCAATAGGATGGAGCAGACCAGCCCCATGGGGTTCCCACTGCTGTAATCTACACAGACACAGGTCGGCTGGCAGGCTTGAACTGCTGATCTTTCTGGTAGCAGCCAATGGTTTAGCCATTGCATCATCAGGATTCTTTGCTCTATGAAGACATTTATATATGTTTATTTTTCAAGCGATTTTCTTGTCATTATGTACCAGCTCAAAGTTCACTGACGCTCCATGGTTTCCATTTGTGAGAAATAGAGAATCATGTCATAGTTAAGAGTGTCAAAGTGAAGGGACCCTGTGGTCTGGTGACACCAGTCAATGCCTCCAGAAAGGTGTCCCTCGGAGACTTCAGGGACTCTAGGACTCTCTGCTCTAAGCCATACACACTACGATTCATAAGCAGTGACTCATGACTTTCAGGTTATTTAAAGGGTAAGAATGAAAAGAGAGAAACTATTGCTCTGGAGCCATGTTGTTTCTGATTCCATGTTTGTGCTGATTTGGATACTTCTGACAACAGGGAAGGGAGTAGCTGGTTGTGGAAGGCAGGGAGCAGGCTGCTATTCCTCTTTTTTCTTGCTACAGAGAAAAATTCAAATGCAAATAATGCTTCTGCTGCAGCTCTTTGACTCCGAACCCCTCTGCGCGTGTGTGGGTTCATTAGGTTTTTAGAATACGAGTCCCATGAGGATGGGATTTGTGTTATCTTAGCTGTTTATGGTTCATATCCAAACATTCAGTCACCACTTCTTTAAGCCCTAGTAACCTAAATGCATCCTTCTAACTTTAGCTTCTCTCTCTGGGACAAAGTGTGTGTGCATATGGACAGCTCTGTTGCTTGAATGGCTTTAGGCAGCCCTTTCCTTTATAATACTCTCCACATGTTCTGCTTTTTTTTTTCCCCAATCACTTTATGATGCACTTATCTCACAATGCTGCAGTGGGAACACTCAGTTGGAGAGTGTCATTCTGGCAACGTTTTACTACTGAAGAAGTTGAGAGTTTTAGAAAGGATACCTGAGTTTCATAGCGGATGGCGACGGTGAAGTCCATGGGAAAGGGGACGTTGTTGACAGCAAATCTCAAGCCAGCCCCTGGAAGGACCCTGGCGAATCCAGGTCCGGTCCATGTGTCTGGCTGCCCAGGAACTGACTCTCGGAGAAGGACGTGAGCAGAGGGGGCCTCCCCAAAAGTCACCAAACCCTAAAATCAGAGCACAATATGCATGGGTTTGCCTACAGTCAAGGGCCTGGAAGACCTCAGGAAAAGATGTGTTTTCTGATGGGTATATGACCCATCTGGGCTTTGGAGAAATGATTCCATCCAGAGCAAGGCCGAGAATTCTGCTGAGAGCAAGGTGCTGGAATTACAGCTTTTGGGCACATGCAGTACAGCGTGCTGGATAGAGTGCAGACTTTAAAGGCACTGCTACGGAAAGCCGTTTTCATTTTAAGCACCCCATGTGTTAATGAGCCGAGCAAATTCCACATTGATGACCTTGAGTTTTCACAGATCTGACTGAGGCGTGGGCTGGAATACGGAGGGGGAGAGAATATTCTCATGTCTACTTCATGGATTTGGCCGTTATTGAGCATGACTATACTGAAACCCACAGGGATTTACTGATTAGATATTTCTTCCATGCAAACATGAGAAATACCTCTTCCCCTATCTGCTTAAGGTATGTCTGGCGCAAAACCCTTAGCCCCACCCCATTGTTAAGAGTCCTTGGAAATCTCTGTGTTGGATGTTAGCCTGAGGCCATCTGGACCCTGGAGATAATAATTCCTCCTTAACTGCTTTCACATCTGCCTCTCCACTCTCACAGCCTCCAACCTCAGCCTGGCCCTTTTACTTTTTCCCTGGATTGCTACAACTGTCTCTTGGCTATTCCTCTGCTCACTCTGGCTCCAGTGTGTGTTAAACGCCCCTGCCAGTAAAACATTTCAAGCTCTCCCAACTGCCTGCAGAATGACACCCACTTATACAGACCAGAGTTCAAGCTGCTGGTCTGTTCCCCAAAATGCCCTTCATTTGATACAGATTTACTTAGTAACGACTATTACACTCTGGATTAGCGATGCCATAGTGAACAGGACAGAGCCTTTGGCACAGAGGAGTTTCAAGTCTTGCCACGAAAGAGGAATACAAATAAGTAAATGATCAGGCTTTAATAGCCCCAAGCCAGTCATTTTTGACTCCCAGCAACCCGAGAACTGCTCCATATGATTTCCAAAGGCTGTGACCTTTCTGAAGTCAATCACCAGCCCTTTCTTCTGAGGTGCTTCTAGGTAGATTCAAGCTGTCAACTTTTTGTTTCATAAAGAGAACGCTCAATCACGTGCCAAGAATCTATAATCTGTATGCCATGTTTCAGAAACATTTTTAAAAAGCCCTCGCGATTGTAGTGGACTTTGTAGGTTTCCCTCTCAGGTAATCTGTTTTCTAGCTCTAGTGCATGTGTCTTCTACCTGTCCCCCAGTCCCCAAAACCAAACCCACTGACAGCCAGTCAGTTCTAACTCAAGGCTACTCTCCGTGGGACTTGAGGCTGTGAATTGTTTAAGCTGAAAATATTTGCAGGAAGAAACGGCTCCCATATTTCTCCCACAGAGCAGCTTGGTAGGTCCAAAGTACTGACTTTCGGCTAGTAACTCAACACGTTACACACTGAACCACCAGGGCTCCTTGCCTGGACGGACGGATGGAGACACACACACACACACACACACACACACACACACACACACACACACACA